ATAACAGTGAGAACCACGATGTGTTAGAAGATATTTTGTGTGAAATATATTGTCTTGGCTTACACAAACGGCTGAACAATTCAAGGCATTGCGTCCATTGGTTAGCTAGTAGGTTCGATAGGTTATCACTAGGGAAGATTCAAGGCCGAAAGCTACCTATACTCTTTCGACAAATTTTGCATATTGTTGCATTTCCATTGCCTTCAAATTCCATTCATGTGGGGAATTGTTAGAAATAATGGGTTTTGGAAAAATCTGGAAAACATAATTTTTCTTAACTTTGGTCAAATTTTTAGATGAGGACCCATGCACCGAATTTCGCGGGTCAAAGTGGTAGCACGTTCTATGCCGCGTTGTGATTCACATGGTATATTTGGTTGCTCAAAACCATTATCATCTTCCACCTGGATCTAAACCTCTTGGATATAAATGGATATTCACTCAAAACCAGAAAGCAGATGGTTCAATAGACAAGTATAAAGCAATACTTGTAGTAAAAGGTTACAGACAAAAGGAAGGTCTGGACTATTTTGACACATATTCTCATGTGACAAGAATAACATCCATCCGCATGCTTATTGCCATAACAGCATTGTATAATTTAGAAATACATCAAATGGGTGTTAAGACAGCTTTCTTAAACGGTGCTCTAAATGAAGAGATCTATATGGAGCAACCTGAAAGGTTTGTAGTACCGGGGCAAGAAAAGAAAGTTTGTAAACTTGTCAAATCCCTTTATGGATTAAAACAAGCTCTGAAACAATGGCATGAAAAATTTGATCACACTATACTTTCGAATGGTTTTAAGATAAATGAATATGACAAATGCTTTTATGTTAAAAGCATAGACAAAGGCTATATCATAGTTTGTCTTTATGTGGATGACATGCTCATTATTAGAAACAATAATGACATGATTAAATTCACAAAGAAAATGTTTAAATAAAAAGTTTGACATGAAAGATCTTGGAGTAGTAGACGTAATTCTAAGAATAAAAAATACTAGAACATCTGAAGGATATGCTTTATCTCAGTCTCATTATGTTGAGAAGATTCTGGAGAAATTCGGAAAGCATAACAACTGTCCTGCTAAAACACCTATTGACAGTAGTCTTCATTTGTCAAAGAGTACAAGTGTAGGCATATCACAATTAGAGTACTCTCGGATAATCAGAAGCTTGATGTACTTAGTAATTGCATTAGGCCGGATATAGCCTATGTTGTGAGAAAATTGAGTAGGTACACAAGTAATCCAAGGTCAAATCACTGAAAAGCGATAATTAGGATACTTAGATATCTAAGACGTATCCAGAATTATAGCTTACATTATATCAAATATCCAGCAATACTCGAGGGGTACAACGATGCAAATTGGATATCAGATACTAAAGACTCAAAATTTACCAATGGATACGTCTTTACCTTGGACAGTGTTGCAGTCTCTTGGAAATCGTCCAAGCAGACATGCATAGCAAGGTCGACAATGGAATCTGAGTTTATCGCAGTAGATAAAATAGTAGAAGAAGCAGAATGACTTCGTAATTTCTTAGAAGATATTCCAATGTAGCCTAAACCTGTGCCAACTATATGCATTCACTATGATAGTGAAGCAGCAATAAGACGGGGACAAAATCATATGTATAACGATAAGTCTCGACACATTCGTTGAAGACATAATACTGTTCGGCATTTGCTCTCATATGGAATAATTTCCATAGAATATATAAAGTCAAGAGAGAATATTGCCGATCCATTGACTAAAGGGCTAGCCAGAGAGCAAGTGCACCATTTATCAAGGCGAATGAGATTAAAGCCTATTACTTAAAAGTTATCTTAATGCTAACCCAACCTAGTTGACTGGAGATCCCAAGATCTAAATTCAAATGAAAAACCGAATTACGGATGACTTCACGTATCACTAACGAGGTTTACTTCTACCAATTTCGATGATAAGAAGAGTGATTGTAGCGTTAGTAGCATAAACTTTTCTTTTAATGATTCTTATAGCTTGGACATCCAAGTGGGGTATGACATGATACTATTAATAAAAAGTCACCTCTATGAGTGTGAACTGGGTCGGTTTTGTGAGAATTGAGAAGGCTAAATTCTCTAAAGCACTCATGAATTACTAGGTGTTGTTCAGAGACAAAATGAACACAACCGTGAGAACCATACTGTGTCTGCAGATATAATATGCGTAGTTTATTGTCTTATTTTACACAAACAACTGAACAGTTCAATGTATCGCGTCCACTAGTTAACTAGTAAGTCTGATAGGCTTTCACTAAAAGACGTTCAAAGCCAAAAGTTAACTATTTCAATGTGGTGTATCTTCTTAATGTACTATTTCTTTGGCTGCATTTTGTTGCATGTCCGTTGTCGTGAATTCCAATCATATGGGGGATTATTGGAAAATGACTTTCTAAATATCTTATTTTTTGCTAACTTTGAGCATTAATTAAGGTATGACCCAAGCGTTATTTTTGTTTCAAAATGGGTTTATGTTGAATGTCGCGTAGTGAATAACATCGTGTATTTGGTTGCTCAAAATCATTTTCGAATGAATGAGAATTCAACGTGCATTTTCGGACTCATGGAAATAATTTTAGGTGGATTTCCTACAAATTTATGAAATGACCTGTCCTACATTGAAATAAAGAGAGTTTATATGAGTATATAACGTCTAGTTTGCCATACTTGGGATGGGCCCTAAGGGGCACCCTAAGTTTTGAAAGGAGTGGAGTTATGGACAAAGTATGCTTTGACCAGAACCACCACACATGTGTGCACGCCGACAGCTGACCGACAACTGCGGGTTGTGGGTCGGGTCAGGTCATTGTTTAAATTTTTTGGACCAAATTCGTTTGAATTTTTGTTCAGGAAACTTTCAAATCTTACGCCGAAATTTCAAATTCGAATTTTCCAAATTTCGAATTTCGGTCACCTCATTTTCGAACTAATATCATTTCGGTCACGACTTTTCAGCCATGGCCTAGCAGCCACCAAGGCCTACCCGAATAGGTGCATGGTTGGCTATAAATAGCCTGCCATTCTAGCAATTCAAAACATCCAATTTTTCCAAGTGTCTCTTTCTTCTCCTTCTTCTTCTTCTTCTCGTCCTCCTGCATTTGTCCAATATTTAGTCTATAGGAAGAGAAAAGGGGGGTTATAGCATTGTTTGGTTTGCCAGACTTGATTTTGTAATATTACAAATCAAGTAATAGTCGTTGCATCATTAGAAGTAGAGGCCACTAAATCTTGAAACATCGGAATTAGGACGAAATCTACTTTAAAGAGATTATGTCCAACACAAACCCCGACTTAAAGTTTCTGTAAGCGGTTAATTCAGAATTTAATTTATTTAATTATTTTTTGAATTATTATTTTTTTGTTTATTTTATATATACATTTAAATTACACACACAACCACTGAGTAATAACATAATCTGCCTGCATAATCCTCTTATGTAGCTACCTAAAAATCACTCAAGTTTCTAATCTTAATCTCCTGTGTGAGAGAATAAATAAATAAATAAATATAGACAAAAGGAAACAACACATCAGTGCTAACCATAAAAAGAAAAACAGAAAAGGGTACAATCCATCTTTTTCCATTACTCTTTGTTCAAGTGGGGCAAGATACTTGCTTAACTTATTTGAAAGAAAGAGAGGTGAAAGTTGATGGGAGGGTCCCCCCCGTCTACCAAATCCTATGTAGGCACGGCTAATGGGAATTCACTAAATATTATTTATAATCATCATCATCATCATCATCTACGAAAACACAGGACTGCTCGAGCTCCAAATCGAACAAGAGAATATAATTGCGTACAATTACATAAAAGGAAAAGGACAAAGGAAAGAAGAAAGGAAGAAGAAAAGAATTTTTAGCTTTACTGAATTCCCAAGCTCTCCTCCTCCTCTTTCTCCCTGTAGGCTGTGGGTTGGTGGTGGTTCGGTTATTATTCTGCATGCGTCTCCCCTCCAACAATGGTGGCTAAACTAAATAGAATTCAGTTCCAAAACTAACTAAAATGCCACTAATAATAACATTACTATTAATCCCACCAGCCATAAAAAGAACCTAGTGCAGCTCCCAATATGTAATCTTCCCTGAAATCAAGACAACCATTAACAAATCCAAGTATTAGTATTACTAGACAAATACAAATACAACACAATTAACAACATTGTTAAAATCACAATTATTTATTAGTAATTAATTATAGTGGGGGAAGCTAGAGGAAGAGTTGAGTTGTGGATATAAAGTTTAGGGATAGCGTAAATAACTGAACTAAACGAGAGTGTGCACATTCCTTACACTAAAAGAAAAAAACTAAGAGTAAAACCATCAATTATTTCCTTAACGTTTGTCCATCTTGACTCTCAAAATTCTAATTTATGCCCTCCTCTACCATACTATCATTCTATTAGAGCATCAAATTATTATATCATGTCTTTCTAATTGATTGTGCTTGAGCATTTGATTTGTATAGAATTAAAAAATAGAAATAAAAATAAAATCAAGTAAAAGGTCAAATTAAAAAACAATAATAATCTAAATAAAAGAAAATTGGAGAGATTACAAAAACACCGACCGTTATAATAATTTAACCTAAAATTAATTTCAATGCAATGATTGGTTTCAACGACGTTATCAATCACAATTATCTTCGAAATTGATATAACAGAATCCACAAAATCAACCAACTACTAGGAAAATGAAGGGTATGTTTATGTCTAAACAAATAATTTGACATCGTTTTCAGTTTGTTACCCAAGGTTTTGTGTCATTAGTGGTGATCTGTAAGCCAAGTTAGAAATTATACTAGCGGCCAATACTTGCCCTAATTTTTAAAAATAGTTTGTTTATTATTTGATGTGTCATACCTATGATGATTTATAATAATAGAATTAGTTTGGGATCTAGTTGACTAATAGTTATGAGTATATCAGATTCACATCAAATAATTAACGAAAAGTACGTACCTTGGCTTAATTTTCAAATTATGTATTTTTGAAAAAAAAATAAAATTAGGAACTGGTTTGGTGAATCATTTTCATATGATTTTAACATTTTGGGGATAAAAAATATATATTTTTTTACTTTAAAATATTTTTTGCATTTATCTGTATCAAATTAGTATTTGTTCTAAATAGAGTGAATGTAATTCATACACCCCCAAGGGTAATTCGTAATTCCCACTTCACATGATTTGGTATAGGGCCTATTCAATAACTTTACTTAAGGCACTCATTTTCTTATTCATATTTCAAAAGAGTTGGTTAGTGTTGAAAAATTTAACTTTTTAATATCAATGCAATTCAATAAAAACAATATAAATAAATGGATTTTTCTAATAAGAGAAGTCAAACCCTAATATATAAAAAAGAGCGTAGCCCACTCTTAAAATATCCACCCCTCCCATCAATTTCTATATCCCTGACATCACCTCTATTTTTGAGGTCCAATGAGATAGTAGTGAGAGATAGAGAAAGGAAAAACAATTATTTAATAATTTTATAATATAAATTCGTGTTATTTTATAATATTATGATTAGGGGCAAATTATAAACACCTCTCGAGCTTTAGTAAAAATACAGATTCCTCCTAAAGTTTGAGAAATTACAAATTGCTCATTGAGGGTCAAATTTTCATAACAAATTAAAAAAATTAGGAGAGAATCTGTATGAAAATAAAAATCTCAGGGGACAATTTGTTATAAAAATATAAACCTCAAGAGGCAAGATGTTATATTTTTACCAAATCTCGATGGGATATTTGTAATTTGTCCTATAATTATTAAAGAATGTAAGTAGACATAACAGTATATTGAGTAATTAAAAAATATAAAAAAACATAATAAATAATAATTAATTTAGACATACAGACCCATAATAATCTAAAAATATTTATAATTTTCAAAAAGTGCGTGTGACTCCCCCTTTACATAATCTATTTCATAGTATTAGAGATAAATAGAGAATGCAACTCTCAGATATTTTTCTTTCTACTATGGGACAAAAGTATATTTCAGAGAGAGGGGGACCTATTCATCCCATGCCACCCTAAAAATCGGACACCATTCGCTGTACCGTAATTGCTGAAACTTTCTCCCTTCCCCTAGGGTTGAGCAAATCGTCCGTAAAATTCGTAATTCGATTCAGTTCAGTTTAATTCGATAGGTTTGGATTGATTTTTTGAATCCGCAGTTCGGTTTTGGATTGAAGAATTAAAAATCCGTAGTCTACGGATTGGTTCCGAATTGAACCCCACGGTTCCGGATTGGAACTGATTCGAACCGTATACAAATAGTCTATATTTTTATTATACATCTTCTCCCATAGTATCTTCTCTTAATTCTATATAAAATCTAAACTCAAACCTAAAACCATATAATATCTTCTTTTATTACTCTTATTTGTTGATTTTTAGTTTTAATTTGTAATGGTTTAAATATTTATAGTGAAACCAATTTTCTTATGGTTGTTTAAATTTTAGAACAGTATGTCGTTATTATAGAAAAATATGTTACTATTGTGGAACTAATATAGCGCTATGTTTATATTTTTATAAAATTAAAGTGTTATAAATATATTTTGGTTATTTAATTATGTGAATCTGTGATCCTAAACCGATCCAATCCGCATTTAAATGGATTGGTTCGGATTGGTTCCATGATTTAAACGGATTGAATTGGTTCCAATATTTTAGGAACCGTAAAAAATGGATTGGTCCTAGTTTTATCCCAATCCGGTTCAATCCGGACCATGCTCACCCCTACCTTCCACTAATCAATTAATATCAGGCTATTTTTATTTTATTTTTCTTTTCATTTTGTTTACAATAATATTAAAGATTTAGACATAAAAATCCAAAAAATATCTAATATCATATTTTATTAATTTAATTCTCACTCTCCAGATCAATTTCCAAATATAGTTTGGATCTTAAATTTTGAACCTGGTTTGTTTTTTTTATTAAGAAAATGTTTGATAACTTAAATTTTTGTGATTCGAATAATTCAAATGTATTAAAATAATGTCGTTCTTCATTTAAAACGACATCGTTTTAAATGTTTTGAACTATTTGAACTATAATTTTCGGGTAACATTGCCTAACATTTATTATTCCAGTTTGCTCTATATAAAAATTAATTATTCTGTGTTGTGTTCCATAAAATATCCAACCAAAAGAAAACAAAAAAATTGTTAAAATGCGCATCAGAAAAAAATAAATATGCGCACGTTAGAGGACAAGAGTTGGAAAAAAACAAACTCACCATTGCCGAAGAGATAGACATATAACCGTCCGACGAGGTTCCCAGTGGCGACGCCGCCGACGGCGGCGTTCCGGTGGTCGTAGTTGGAGTCGAGATGTTACCTCCGGCGAGTCCGAGTGAATAGGCCGGCATTCCGTCTGGCTTGAACAAGCCGTAGTTCCTCTCCGATGTCGGTCCAGGCTTCATGTTCTCATTGAACAGAGCAAACACGTAGATATTCAACTCACAATTCGGCTTCAAAGGCGTCCCTTTCTTCTGAGCAATCAATTTGATCACATTGCTGTTATACTTCTTCGCATTGTCTAGATTCGCTCCAGCTTCGTCTTCGTCTCCCTTAGAAGGCCAACCTGTCTCGGAGATCTGCAATGGAACCTTCTTAAACCCTAAAGATGCCAGAGCAGAGTACACAGCATCGATCTGAGCAAACAACATGTTGTCGTAATGAAGATTCGATACTGGATCTACAATCCCCGAATTAGGCTGAAACAGAACGAAATCGATCGGGACTTGCTTCGGATTCGACTTGTATGCGAAATAGGGATAAGCATTGATGAGAAAAGGAGAACCAGTCTTGACATGAAAATTCAAGACCTGAGTGATGCAACCGGTGAGATCTTTTCGGAAAGTTCCAGAAGAAGGAGGATAAGACTTCTCCAGAATTGCTAGAGAGTGAGCTGTAGTGACACTGACTTGTTTGTCTAGATTGAGGCTCACAAGAGCATTGTGGATTCCTTGCATCGCAGGAAGGAGATCGTTGCTGAGAGAAGTGTCGTTGAATGTTAGGACTTCGTTCCCGATTGTGATGCAGGTGATTTTAGTGGCAGGTAAGTAGGATTGAACATTTGTTTTGACCCAAGTTTGGGCGTTATTGGGATCTCTCATCTTGGATAAGAACTCGTTTCCTAATCCAACGATGAACTCGACGTTGGTGTTGGCGAATGCTTTGAGGACTCGTGGATCTGCGTCGTAAAGCTTCACTTTCGTCGCGCCGATCGATCGTACCAGCGGAAACACATTTTCCGGAGACGGTAGGTTGTTTGCAATTTGGCCGTAGTTGATGCCAACGGCAGCGACCATTGCCGGAAATACAAACACTACACAAAATCAAACCCCCCAAAAAAATGATTACAAACTTAGAATTAATAAATCAAATTTTTTTTTTTAAATTTAAAAAAGAGAGGAAATTAGAGAAAGTAGAGAGTACCTGAGATGAAGAGAAGCATTGAAGAACAGTTGAGTGTGCTGGAGTCCATGGAGGAAATGGAACGATAAAGGAGATCAAATGAGAGAGAGAGTGAGTGAGAGCGAGAGGAGAGAGTGAGTGAGCGAGTGAGTGAGTGGGTGAGTAATGAAGTGAAGGCGTGAAAGATAAGGCGTTAACATTTATTGTGTTGTGTCTGGTGTGACTGTTGACGCCTGTTGTTGATTATTTTGGGCTGAGCTCCCAATTCGTAAAATTGCTATTTTGGGCCATGTTTAGTGAAGGGCTATTTGTTTAAAATAAGTTAAAATAATTAATCAAATAAAATGTAATATTTAAACTTTGTTGGAAAAAATGACTAAGGTAAAATAACTTAGTAAAAGATAAAATAGATTAAAATAATTAATAAGACAAAATGTCACATCTAATTTATAATCATTTTATTTTTTCTCTTATAATTATTAAATCAATTACAAAAAAAAATCAACTAACTTTCTAAACACAACTTTTTTAATTAGACTAAATTAACTAACTAAAATAGCAAACTTTTCAAATAAGGCATTAATTTATAATCGTTTCACTTTTTATCTCATAATTATCAAATTAATTACAAAAAAAAAAATCTACTACCATCTCAAACACAAGGTTAAAATAACTAAAATGTCAAATAGCCCATTAAAATAGTTTATTTTCAAACGAGGCCTTAACATAAAAATTATACTTATTCTTTAAATTTAAGAAAATATATAAATTTTTTTTAGATCTATTTTTTAAATTCAATAATGTGTAAGTGAAATGATTAATTAATACATTAGAGAGGAAGTTATTTTAGACATTCTAATAGATTGTCATATCATTGAATCTAAAAGGTATGTCTTGTTAGAATATCACTACTCTTAAATTTGATAACGTCACAATCAATTAGAATATCTAAAACAATTTTCTCTTATATCTTTTTTAATTATTAGTCAATCGTTTCTTCTATGAGAAACATTATGGTACAAATCCTTTGAAGGGTGTGTATTATATGCACCTTATAATTAAAGAAAAAAATTACATAATTTCATACTTTCTGAGTTAGAAGTAATTTTTTTTTTCATAGCCAAACACAACATAAGGCATAATTAAAAACTCATGAGTTATAACTAAAATAATATTATAACTAAATAAAAAAATTGATCATAATAAAAGAAGAAAATAACATAATTAGGTGTATATGGCACACATTTTTCAAGAGTGCGTATATTAGAATTTCTCTTCTTTTACACATTACTAGATCTAAAAAATAAATTTAGAAAATAAGTTTGTATATCATTTTTCATAAGAAATAAGAAATGTTCTTATAATAATAATAATAATAATAATAATAATAATAATAATTTTATAGTAATATTTTACATTATTTATCACTTAATAGTTGTTTTTTTTATTTTTTGATCGGTAATAGTTGTTACACTATCTCTTAAAGATTTAATAAAAATCATTATTTTAATCAATAAATATCAAATTGGAACATCACGTAAACTTATAAGAGGAAATTGCAAATCAATAGTACGACCTTCCTTAGTGTAACAACCCTCACCTTACCCTTGTCTTACTTGCATACATTCCTGCATGATCTTGCCTTGTTTTAATAATTGGAAGGATTTGTTTGCCTTGTTTTGTTAGTATTACTTGCGTGATCTTGTCCCTTGTTCGGTGTGTGTGTGGCCGAGGTCATTTTGAGCTTAGTCCGCCTTTGAACCTTGTACTTAGATTTGTTTTGAGATCTTGTTCAACCCCATCTTCACTTCGGGCATTCATTGCCGAGATGTTTTGCACTTAGTGAACCTTGTCCGCAGGCAGGTATGGCCTAGGCCGAGATGTGGCACACCCCGGCCAAGGTGTGGCACAGCTTAGTCAAGTGTCGTCCTCCCTAGCCGATGTCTTTGTATCCTGTTGCGGATCCTTGTTTTGAGCCGAATGTCCTTTATTGCCGATGTGTCTTACCCGAGCTTGCTGCATACGCTTTGTCAGAGACTTGTCTTGTCTATCAATCACCTTTTCGAGTTGGACCAACCCGGCAGCGCCACGTGTCCGAGCTGATTGTTAAGACAGTCGGCAGACTTGGAAACGAGTCTTTTTGGTCTCAAATCTTTGTTTTAGAGAGAGAAGCTCTAGAGAGGAGGAAGAAGGGTTCTTGAGTGAGAATAGTCTTCCAAGCTTGATCTTCGTGGCTTGAACCGTTAGATTCGAGCTTTGGGGTAAGATTCTTGATCTACTTTGAATGTTGTTATGGATTATCTAGCTGCATTGCATGATCGGATCTGTTTTGCATGTCATGCATCGTTTTGAAGTTGGTTTTAGAAAGAGAAAATGGTTTTTCATGTGTTCTTGAAGAAAATCTCGTTTTGATCCGAAAGTTGGAACGGAAACCATGTTTTTGTGTTTGTTCTTGCATGACTTTCTTGAATGGGTACCCAGGTTTTTCTTGACTTTGTTTAGCGGGACCTCGGCATAGTCCTGGACGGTACCCAGTGTGTTTTCATGAAACGGGAGCAGTGACTAAGCTCCCAGCTTGTTTTGTTTTGTCTTTGACTCGGACCTGGAAGAAGGCCGAGATCGTTTGCATGTATATATAGAGCTTGCTTTGAGATGTGACTTGCCATGTGATTGTAGGTCCTTGATATTTGCCTTGAGTTTGCAGTCCTGGACGGTACCCAGTGTGTTTTCATGAAACGGGAGCAGTAATTAAGCTTCCAGCTTGTTTTGCTTTGTCTTTGACTTGGATCTGGCAAGAATGTCGAGATCATTTGCATGTATATAGGGCTTGCTTTGAGAATGTGGCTTGCCATGTGATTGTAGGTCCTTGATATTTGCTTTGAGTCTACACCTGAAGAACTAGGTGAGTGGTATTTCTAATAAAGCTATGTTACACTTACTTTTGATAAATCTTGTTTTGTTTGTTTTGACGTGGGTATTTGTTAAGCATGAATAAATAGCCTTGTTTTGATTGTTACCCTCAGAAAGTCCCTTGTGCTGGAGGACTCTAAACTTTCGCAGTACTAAGTATAAAAGGATACGGTCCTTGTTAAATCGGGCTACGGGCCTAAGTAACACAAGTCCCTTGTGCTGGAGGACTCTAAACTTTCGCAGTACCATTTGACTGATGAATACGGTTTATCCCTTGCTTCGCCGATGTTGTAATATTTGACTGATGAATACGGTTCATCCCTTGCTTCGCCGATGTTGTAATATTTGACTGATGAATAATAGCAGTCAAGACCAAGTGTCGATCCACAAATACTAAAGATAGGAAATAAATTTAATTTAGAAATTTAGGATTTAACGGAGTTGTTGTGAATTTTTGGAGTGAAAATTAAACTATTAAATTAAGCTATTAATTAAGTGAAATGAGATAAGAAAAATATCTTAGAATTTTGAATCTAACACTGGCCACGTAATTGGGAGTTATTGTATTAATTTGTAAAAATCTTTAATTTGAATACTATGGTGTATCTTGGCCTAGATACTTTGTAAAAATAATTTTTACATGGTAAAATCCGAAAGCATGAACAATCTTTGCTTAGTACGGACCGTCTCCTTAAATTACACTAAACTATTTTGAAGTACGACCCGTCTTACTTGGCATGACTTATCTAACAATTTTACTACACAAACATTGCAAAGCATTTGTATAACGAATATTACATAAAAACATTTCTTGTATGAATAAATCTTCTAACATTATACAAAGTATCCAAATTAAATAAAAACCATAAAATTCAATACAACTCACCTCAATTACATGATTAGGATTTCATCTGAACCCTAAGATAAGGAAGTTAGTTCTACATACTCATGGAACTACCACTTCCGACGTACCCAAAGTAACGCTTTGATACCAAGTTGTGGAGTCCCAAAACAAATACAATAAACCATCCAAAATGATAAGTAAATAACACTATGAATCCGAATAAAATGTCCTTATATTACATGAGATTTGATTGTACAAAAGAGTGACACATGCGAAATACATTCATAAAGAGTATATCCTGAATCTACATTATGTGTTACCAAGCAGTAATAATGTAATAAAAGCTAAACGGATAATCATATGCCCTAGAGGCTTACATTTGTCCAAGTCCATCATTGGGTACACCAAAAGTGAGTCTAAAGCTTAATACAAGTAAATCCCTAGGCTTGTACAAAAATGAATACAAAATAAATAAACTAAGCCTTTAGCTCCACAGTCCTCGCAAGCTAAGTCCTTGGTGAAGGCATATCGCTAGTACTTGAAAATGGTTTTCCCAATAGGGTGAGCTAAAGCCAGTAGAAATAATCTAACACAATATATGAAACATCACAAAGATATAAGGGTAATGTGTACATACAAAGCCATTGACAAACCGTTTCATAATTCTTTTGCAAACCATGCAGCACCAACTGAATATCTCAATTCATGAAATCAATTCCATTTCATTCAGGCAACCAAACGGAGAATACGACTTAATAGGTCTCTAACTAGTACAACCACCATATAATCACTTCTATTTGCCATTTTATGGATAGTTTGTCCGCGGGAATTGGCACTCATGTATACTTATGATATTCGGGGCTTCTATCATGTAGAATGATGTAGCCGCGCTGGCCATGGCCAGAAACATCATCACTCCATGGGATCAACAAATGTTTGCAGTAGCGACAGATGTGAAAGAAGCTAATGAAGCATTGATTCTTAGTTTGAGAGCCATTACATCTTTGTCGAATGTGGCACACCGATTACGATCGCGAAGTTTGGAAGTGCGAACTCTAAGCAATCAACTGACTGCCTACTGTTATCAAGTGAACATACTAAGATGAAAGAACAGGAACTGAAGACCAAGGTGCGCACTTTAAGACGACTAGGAGCAGAGGCAGAGACTCAAGTAAACTTTTATCAGGATTTTGCAAACACACGTCTCCTCGAGTTTGAAGAGAAAATTGATGAAGTCCATGATCAGAGTGAAAGAATGCAGGCAGCAATCCATGGTGATGCAAATATGCCATTATTAAATGGGAGAAAGAAAGCAGATTGTGTGTAACAGAATCAAATTTTATTTATTTATTTATTTATTTTTTGTTTGTTTGTTTGTTTATTTTTTCGTTTATTTTTTTTTTATTTTTTTTTTGTATATAAAAATA